AAGCCATTGTCATGCGTATCTAACCTGAAAAGGTTAGAATATTTTGAGAAATATAAAAAATATACTCGCATTTTTACAAATATATATATATATATATTTGACATACATAATGGAAAACAGAAAAAATATTCAAACATTTCTCGGAGTAAGATTTTATTTAAAACGAATGGGGATATGCTCGAAGCGACAGTAAAAATACTGACTCTCGAAATCGTAAGAGTGAATGTCTCATTAAAACTTAGAATGGATTCTTAATCCCCATACGAGTGAATGTTTCAATTGCATTGGGTTGAAGTAAATTTATTTCAAGTAAAGTATTTCGGATTTACTCTTCAATTTCGAATGAAAATATTCACTTGATAGTACAGAATTTCTATACAAAAAAAAATTTGGTGAATACGCATTGTCCTAAAAAATCAAAAACGAAATTCAGAAAGTGGAACAACTTTTCAAATATTCGTAATATCACAAAATTTGAATACCGAGACAATATCCCAAAGTACAATTTTTACTGGAGTATAAATGTATTCATTAAATGAACTTTGTTTGTTAAATTCAAACAACATTTTATATCAAGTATCATTTGTTTTATTATATTAAACCATATCTTTTGATGGAAGAAACATTATTAGCACTTTAATAAGAAACATTATTAGCACTTTAATAAGAAACATTATTAGCATTTTAAAGAGAATAAAATTTTCACCAAATAACACGTTATTTGGTTATATTTCAAATTTGATTTTGTTGAATTAAATTATTTTGTTTAATTAACAAAATTATTGTCTTGTTTTGTTTTATACTCTAATCTGTTATTTAGAGTAAACTAATTATTTAGAATATAATGTAATGAATAGAATATAATAAGATTAAACAATATAATATTTGGTTAAAAATCCAAGAGCAATTGTAGCATTGCATGTTTGATAATGTACATTCTATTAATATTCATTACATATCGATTGTTGTTGCATTGTCTTCAATGATTATCAATAAGTATGATATGAAAAAATTATTTGAACCAAACAATAAAAAATTACTTAAAGAATTAAACAATTATATTTGTTCAATAAAAAATCAGCTTATTCGAACTATTTTGTTAGACAATTTGTTTTTATTTAATAAAATTCATTAAAAGGAACTCTATATATATTAATTGTCTCTATATATTAATCTGAAAACAATATATATATAAGTGTATTATATTTCCCTATTTATTAGTATTTCCTTATTTAGTATAATTTTACTGTGCTTAAAGTAAGTGATAGTCCCGATACTCACGGATTTCTGTACTATATCTATTTTTCAGGAAATAGTTCTTGAACGTTTTAAATTTCGGTAAGTTTTTCTTTTCGGGATATTCAGTTCACTGGTATCTAAAAGGAACTATCTAGATGGTCATCTAAATGGAGGAATCAAAACATGTTATCTATATTTAGATGGTAAAGACATATAGCATCTTCGCTTTAAAAAATATACCACCTTATTTAAAAAAAGATTTAAGATATTTTTGATACGCGCGATATTCAATAGCATAGAATTTGTTACCTAGAGTTTTTCTAGTATTTCCTAAAATTTCCTAAAATTTTCCTAAAAAAAATTTTCCAAAAAAAAATAGATAATTTATACACCAAAAATATGACTGCATTTGAAAATAAGCAGTAGTGGAGGTAGAAACTTTTTTCACGATAATATGAAAAAAATTATGGTATTAATACATAGCTAGTTATCAGTAGTAATATTAAGGTACATTCTTATTTGGAATCAAAATTAAAAGAGTTGTGTTCTCTGATGAATTTTCTTAATGTGAAACAAATACAATTTTTTTCAAATACAATATATCGCTGCTTTGATCAGCACCAGTGAGGTGTCTTTTTAATACAGGCAACAAATATAAATATCCTCCGTAAAAATCATTTATTAGACGATACTTTGGAAAAAATTCTTGTTTTTGAAAAATATAATTTTTTAAATAAAAGTATGAATACTGCTTATATATATTTTTTATTATCTATTACGCAACTTTTTTATATATTTGTATAAATAGCTTTTAAAAATCTCAGAATCTAGATTAATTGCATCTAGATTAATCGCATGACTGTTTCATCTTTCATCTAGATGCTTTAAAAGCGAAATCACCTCCATCTCATTTAAGATGGATCTAAGATGGATATTACGAATTTTCATTTCATCTCTATCTAAATGATTTTAAAACCATCTAAGCGCAATACTGTGTATGGAGAGAATGCGTGTCCACCAAAAATTTTGCTTGCGTCAAGAAAAAAATTCTATGTTTAGTGAAAAGAGTTCTATGCGTGCAATAATTTTTTGCTCGGGTCAATTTGACTCATGAATGTCAAAATAAGCCCAATCCAACGAGAAGAAAGGAATATTCTCTAACCTCGAAAATGTCTCACTCGTTCAACTTGACACACTCTTTCAACTTGCGTGCATTCCATAATTCGGTCGCGCCTCCGCAGGGGGCAATGAGGAGATACGAGGCGCGAGCCGTGAGACATGCCATGAGCGATCGCGCGGGGGTGGCGGCAGCACGGCGGCAGCAGGGGCAGCATCCGCGCGAAGCAGGTGGCGCTAACGCAGGGGCCGCGATCGTGGTGAGCGAACCGTAGCCAGTCGGTCTCGCGCTTTACGCGTGTGCGCATCGTTCGGAGCGTTTGCGTCGTGTATATCGCGGGTACTCTATCTCTCTCTCTCTCTCTCCCTTTCGCGCGCGGAGATCTCCCGAGCGCGCAGCCCCCAAGGGGAGAAAATAACGTTCTCTCTCGCTATCGGTACGACGACAGGCTGTGGTACCGATTATCGCACGCGCTTCCTTCGACCGATTCGCGTTACCCTTTTTTTCCGGATCCCTTTCGGAACCCTTTCCCCTCCCCCTCTTCTTCACGCAGTCACTCACGCACACACGTCCCCGTCCCCGTCCCCCTCGCTGTCCCCGGAAGGCGCCGGCCGAGAACGATGCCGAGGATGTGAGCGACGCATCTGGAGCGAAGCGTCCTGGTCGCCGGTGCGATGGCGCAGAAATGGTAAATACACTGTCGTCGTTTGTCCTTTTTAATCGAGAAACGCGCGACGTTGTTCCCTCTCCTTTCTATTTTTCTTCTCTTTTCTCTTCGTGTTTCTCCCATACACGCTCTTCCGATCGCTTTATCTCGTCTCTCGAGCGGACGTCGCTGGTGATCGTAGTTACATCCTTGCGAGCTTTTTCTCTTTATCGTCCTTCGGACGGGAAGAGTGCTCGCTCACTCGCAATCATTCATGATCGATGTCCTACTGTACACGCGAGGCGGATCGGATGACAATCTGATTTTTTGCGGAGCAAAGACCTTGGGTATCCAGAAAAAATATAAGCCGTAAAAAAACTGACCAATCGTAATCGATTATTCTTGGCTTGTAAGGAGAATAATCGACTGTGTTTGATCAATTTATTGCTGCTTTATTCTTATTGTTTACGTTTTCCCGTGTACTCCCGGGCTAAGTGTCTTCCTTCGTATTATGATGTGTAGAAATAAATAAAGAAACAAGGTTGTTATTTATATGTAGGATAGATTAAGCTAGGACAATTCTTTTCTCATAGGAAATTTCTTAAGAATCGAGATTAGTAGTAAAAATAGAGTAAAAATGATAAAAAATTATTCTGCATGGAAATATATATGGTTGCGCGTTTACACGATTATAGAAAGATTATCTGCAATCCTGTGAGATTCATACTGGAAAAATGGACGACAGTTTAAATTTTAAAAGAGCTCTGCTCAAGAGAGAGAACGAAAGCGGGAAAGAGAGAGACAGAGAGAGAGGAAGTGACACGTTATTTGGAATAAAAAAATTTAACGAGTAAACCGCTAAACGCGGTATACACACACATATTGGCGGATGTTGTTTGAGTGAAAATTAGTTTACTAATTAATACCTCATTTAGGTAACGCCGCTAATTTTCGCTAATACTTCGACCTTGCGCACCAAAATTCCCTAATGAGTTCTGGCGAGTAGTTCGTATGAACGCACACGCCACTTCGTCGCGGTTAAAAGCTAAAGCGGCTTCAATCAGAGGTCCTTCTTTGGCGACGATATTATCGTAAAAGAGAAGAGAGAGAGAGAAAGAGAGAAAGAGAGAGAGAGAGAAAGACAGGGAGAGGGAGAGGGGGGAGAGAGAGAGAAGGAAAAAGAGGAAGCGAGCGAGCTTCACTTATTCTGTACTCTGGGACATAGTCTTTCTAAGTGCAAAAAGTATTATAGAAAATAAGTATAAAGGAAAATAATATAGAAAATTATATAATTAGAGGAGATTTGCAATAAACAGATCAATGGTACATCAGAGAGAGAAAGCGAGAGAGAGAGAGGGGGGGAAAGAGAATATAATAATTTAAAGTCATGCTCAAGACACTACGAATAAACAAACGTATAACAATAAAAATAAATATCATTAAATATGTAACATATCATATATCAATTTACGTAATTACTATGTTTAAGCAGGACCGTGTAAAAGTTAGCCTTAAATTCATCAACAATACGTGCACATTTTTTAGGAGGAATAGCATTCCACAGCAAAGAGCTGCATAATAGGAGTAAGATCTATTAGAGAATTCGGTTCTAGACAGCGCACTAATCTACCCTTATCTGTTCCTTGTCGCAGAATAGAATGTAGTTCCTTTCGCAAGGATATCGGGTTTACCAGTGGATCTAACGTCTAGCAATTGGTATCCTATAAAGTAATCTCTTCTCGCACATATATATACACACACATTAATCTTCAGCCAGTTTAGCAGTTCATAATACAGAGTAATATGAGCATTTTCCCTTAACTGGAAGATGAATCTTACGCATGCATTGACTGATTTCTGCAGGCACAGATTCTGCTCAGTTGTAATATCTGTAAGAGCTATGCAGCGGTAAATTGACGTGCGAATATATCAGCATTTTAAGAAGTTTTTCACGAAACGCTGTCAGCAGTAGATTTCTGCAGCAGTTGAGTTAGAATAGAATAGAGAGAAAGAGAGGAGAAGAGGAGATGGAGAGACTGTAATTTGTTGAGCGAGCGGCTAATTAAGAGAGAATCGCCAATCCGAAATTGGTTGATTTAGATTATAGGTGCATCCACGAGTGTGGCGGTTGTTGACTGCGCGGTTAGCTGTAATTAGACGAAGTTTCTTCCCACGTATAAGTTGGCGTGGGAGGGGTTGTCTGTTGCGACTTGCCAGTCTCTCGCCGAAGCGCGACCGTTTCTTCGCACTGATTGAGAGCGGGGCTGTCTACCATGAGATATCAATCGATCAACGCGATCTCGAATATACGCGAACATACACGAAGTACATTTCAGTTAACGAAGTCATCGTCAGTGGTGGCGACAATCAACGTCGACTTATCGGAATGTGCTTCTGCACATACTAACCCCTCTTGTCTCCGTCGATGATCCCGACGTCATATTGATATGGCATACTCGGTCACACCGGATTCGATTTCGGATCTGTATAATTAACATTCAGTCGTGCGTTTTTATTACATGAAATTTCCGCTTTTGTTAGACGCTTAATTGGCGCGTGAGTTCGAAATTCACCGTGGCTCGCGCGAAACCGGGCCAACTCTATGCCCTTTGTCGGAGGTTCCCTTTTAACCTTTGACCTTCGCAGCGCTATCACGTATACATACACCCACATGCACACATACACACACAAATACATATATACACGTATGCATATATACATGTATGTATCCGCGCGACTTGCGGCGCGATGCCCTCGTTCCGGCGCCGACGTCGCTACGGAAGGCAGGATCCCGCGGTTTCGAATGCATTAACATCAGGGCGAGCTTGAAAAAGCGGCGTCCCCTTTGCCGTCGCACGTTTCCGCCGCCTGATAACTTAGTTTAAAACTACTTCGTACGATAGCGACTTACAAAAGCGTCCGGATCTCATTGCTCCGTTTCGCGCGACTCGCTCCTTCGCCTTCTCCCTATCTCTCCGCGTGCTCGACGTCACCATTCTCCGTGAGTGTGCTTAGCGTTAAACAGACGATCGTGAATTAACTGACGAGTCTCTGCGTTTCTGCCACGTATAGGACGACTCATTTTGGTTGAACTGAGGCTGCACTGGAACTTCGTTCCTGTTTCCTTTAACGCTAAGATGCAGGGTGCGTCAAGAGATAAGGTCAACCAATTAGGAGATGAAAGAGGAGCATGAGTGGAATACATAATGTACATAAACTGTTTTTTGTATTCGCTATGGTTTAGTAATTATAGCGCTGTATACGAGTGTACAGAAAGTGTGCGTTAAAACTTCTTAGTATTTCGGAAAATAAGCACTTTCAACAAAAATGTTCTATACGAAAGTTTCAGGATTTTAAGCGACACATTAAGTAAAATTAGTATTAATGTTGTCAAAGTCAAGTAAGGATTATCTCGAAATTTTTAAACGGGAATCCCCGTTTTTTATTGCATATTCTTGTAGTTTACCTTAGGAGTTTTAAAGTATTGTAATTAAGTTTTTTTATGATAAGATTTTTTCGTTCTATGAGCTTTCAAAGTTTAAGATGATCTTTGCGTGATCTTAACAACTGTTCAATACTAATTTTATTACGTAATATATCACAAAACCCTACAATTTTCATATAGAACATTTTTTCTAAAATGCGCATTTTGCGAAATATTAAGAGGTTTCAACACATTTTCTGTATAAAGCGCTGTATTTACTAAATCATAGGTAATACAAGAAAAGTTTATATGTATTATATATTCTACCCAAGCTGCTCTTTCACCTCCTCCTTGGCTGACCTTACTTTTTGACACACTCTGTATACTTTTTCACTCTTTCTCTCTAAGGATAAAAACTGCAACTGACATTGCAGATCTAAATGTATTATTTTTTAATGCATAAGCGTATAATTCAGCTGAAACTTTTCTGTGCGGTTTTAAATCACGTTATTTAACACATTTAAAAGAGGTGTAAATTATAATTTTATATGTTTAAATGTATTAAATGACGTGACTTAAAACGGTAAAAAATGTGTAAAAAGAGTTTTAGCTAAAATGGGCGAATGGTTTCTGGATTTGTAGTGCAGTTTAGTTAAAAAGAACAAGCGTTGTAGTTCAATTTTGATGACGTTTAATTACGAACGTGACGCGGAGGCTTATCGTGATCGGTAAAAAATAAAAAATAGAAGATTCGATTTATAACTGTAATTTGTAATCGAATCTATACAAAAAATGCTGAATGAATTTACAATAATCTAGAATTGGCCAACAACGCCGTAATTAGAATAAATATTTTTTATTTAATAGCAATATTACTGAACCATACATTGTTTTAATAAGTCGAGTATTACACTGCAAATCCGAGTGTGTTATTTTTAAACATATAAGCGTGTAATTGGCTGAAATTCTTCTCACACGTCCTTTGCGGTTTTAAATTACGTCATCTAACATTATGATGTATAAATTAGAATTATATATGTTTAAGCGTGTCAAATAGTGAGACGGTAAGAAACATAAAAAGAGATTCAGCTTAGGTGTTTAAAAATAACATACTCGGATTTGCAGTGTAGTTTCAATAGTATGGCTTCACTGAATGAAGAAAATTTATTTCAATTATATTTGCAAATTTTATTGGTTCTATTGAATGGTATTCTTCTTCTATTGAATGATGTGTATGACAATGATCGTGAAACGTAAATTGATTAAATCGCGTGTCTCTGCTTTAAGTACTTAAGTCTTTGCTTTAAATTGCTTAAGTCCGTAAAGCAAACCACGAAAACTAATCGCGATATCTAACACGATACTTATAATACTCATGGTTCTCGCTACGAATTATTTTCGCTGTTTAACACTAAGCGTGTAGCAAACCAGCGCATTTAACTTGGAAGCTCTAATGCAATTTTAACAGATGCCGCGTATTAACAAAATTTCTGCCGCGCGCACGAGCGGGTTAAGTCTGCCGATTACATTCAACATCCGTTCGTGAAATTCCGCGGCTGAATGTGTAATGAGAAAGTGACTGTCTGAAAATCCGTCGACGTTTAAATGGAAATGGAGA